TGATACCTTCTCACTCAAAAGTGGCACCCAGGAGTGGTTTCTATAGTCCTGGTACCTGACAACTGCACATGGGGACTTCTTGGTGATTTCATCACTCCCTAGCAGTAATGATTCCTAATGATTTCCATCGAGGGAAATTTTTTAGCATTCTCCCACAGGTATAGATCTTTTTTCATTTTTTTAAGCTTCAGTAGATCTTCATCACGGCCCTGGAGGAAAGAACAGTGTTGAATTTTTTCTAATGGTTGGAAGATTTCATTTGTCAGAGTACTTCAAGTATGACCAAGGTTTCATGCCTACACCATTAGAGATAAGAGTTCTAAGATCTTCTAACATGTCTACAATTTTTCTATGACTGTTTTACAGACTTGTATGAAGAAGTCTATGATGGATATAAATTCCCTCTCAGTATGTGGTTCCTGTTGGTTTTAAACTCTCATACCTGCTCATACTTTGCCTTTATAACTGCAGTGAACTCTGTTACCACTCTCCTGTCATGTTTGATGACATCTCCTGACTGGAGAAGGAAGACAGGCCATCCTATTTTTCCTGCAACATGCTTCTTTTCTCTTTGACTTCAAATTAATCATTTGCTAAGGTACGTCTTGTGGAGAATCTTCTTATGGTAGTCTCCTCTGCCCCTCTTTCTCCCTATCTTTATCTGTATCCCTATCTCTCTAACGTAGATGCATTTATCTTTATCCAAGACATGGACAATTATTTGATCTAAAAAGAACTTTTATTTTCCAAATTGATGCCACACATACAAATGTGCCTCCTCTCTGGCCTCTGCCCAACCCCATGATAAAATCTTACAACCTCAGCTAAAATCCATCTTTGGCTTAAAAACACCTTTGGTGGAATACCCTCATCTTGGCTTCTCTGGTCTCCTCAGGTGGGCAGTCTCCCATTCACAGCTCATTATGTTGTGCCTGAGATGGCTTTTTGGACAGGAGCTCAGTCCAGAAAGCTACTTCTTTGTCTTTTAGCTTCTGGGCTTGCTGAGTGGTGGCACCAATCTTCAGGTACCCTTCCTTCTGGTCATATTGTGGCCAATGAGGCAGCTCGTTCCCATTGGGGTTCCTAGGAAGAGAATCCAAAAGAATTCCTCATAGCATCCCTGTGGTCCTCACATGCCTATGAGACTTACAGGGATTCCTGACTTATCTCTGTCAAAGGGCCTGTGCACCCTAAGAGATGGATAGTTGTCAGAGCACTGGAGTCTCTGTTGCAGTGGATCACTGAACTTTAGAAGCAACCCCTTCCTAATGGGTGTCCTTAAGGTTCCATCTTATCCACCAACACAGCTACATCTCTGCTATCAGCCTCACCCATTTCGAGCAAAGTTGGCCCAGAATTTCATCACCATCTTGCTCAGTTTGATCTCCTCTTCTGAGGCACCATCTGTGAAATATTAAAAGGAGAATCAAACAAAACTCTTTACTACTGAAAATGTGGCTCATGAGCCCACAGCAGCAGCAGCAGTACATGGAAGATTGGTATAATGCAGGGTTTGGGCCCTTACTCCACACATCCTGAATCAAAAACTTGTACCTTAACAAGATCTTGGTTAACTAGTGTGTGCTTTCAGATTGAGGATAACCAATCTGGAATTTATTTATGGGAAGCAACCCATTCAATACTGGCTGCCTTCGTTTTCCATATCTATCTGCTTGTTCTTCCTTACTCACAGTAGAAATACCATACCCCAAGGATTCCTCTGCCTCATGGTATTATTGACTCTTGGGTCTCCTAAACACACCTATATCATCATGCAGATTGAAATATATAAAATGTGAAAATGTTCTAAGGAATCACATTACTAGGAGATGCCCACGACACTGGTGTGTTTTGAACAACCATGAGGTGAGTTAGCAGCCACATGCAGCTTCTAAAAGTGAAAGAATTATGGTGTTCCTTAAATACCACAGTACTAATTATATCATAGCTTAATATCGTATTATAACTATCTCATATATAAAATAAATGACTTTTAGATATTTACATAAATCGATGGACAGACCAATATATTAATGTACTTCAAGGTTAGCACAATTTAGATGTATTGTTTTAAAGAGGGAATCAGGAAGTGATAACCTTGTCATCAACTGGGCCACAGCAAGTTGACCACCATTTCTTTTTGTTGTCAGTGTTCAGGATTGTGAGAACAGTTCTGCTGGGGGCACATTAATATGTATCCCCCTTCATGTATGTTAGACCAGGAGAAAATTTGGCCACATCCCAAGTAGCCTACCCCCACTATGCTTAATCAGGAAATTAGAATCAAGGCAGAAGAAACTTCTTCTTCAAGGCCGCCAAACCAAAACTGGAGCTCATACCCCCTAGTATTCCAAACTTATACTTAGCAAGAGCCTTTACCTCTTAAAATTGGGGCACCAAAGACAGAGAAGACCTCATCTGCATGGTCTCCCATCACATTCTTGGGTTTCAACTCTGATGAGAAGCTGGGATGATACTGAAACTCATACATATAGGTAGGAGCTCCAGAATCTGAGAAAACATGGATTCATACAATTTATGTTACCTCAAATAGCATCAGGATGGTATCAAGGCCTCTACCTTTGAAGGATATTCCCAGTCATTAGCACAGCAGAAAAATATTTTCAAGAAAACTCTTTGACTTGCTTATCATTGCATAGGTAATAGAAGTGTAAGCTCTATGCTGCGTTTTGTCTGCTTGTGTTTGCATGTGACTTGTGTATGCTGACAGCATTGAGGAGCTTGTAGGATTCTATTTCTACACGGTCATGCACCTCCTCCCTGGCTCTTACAGTATTTCAGCCCCCTTTTCCACAATGTTCCCTGAGCCTTGGGTGGGTAAAGTTTAATATAGGCATTCTGTCAAAGAACCAGCATTCTGCAGACTCCTAATCTCTACCCTTTAACCATTTGTGACCTTTGGTGTTCCTAGCCCTCTGTTGCATGAAGGAGCTTCGTTAATGAGAATTGAGAGATTCACTAGTGACCTATTTACCCCTGTTCTGTGTCCCATGAGCCTTGGAACATAGAGGTTGCATTGTAGATATTTCACTTAGGCTCAGACATTTCATAGGAAACATCTGTGTGTGACCAGTTTTAGTACTTAGTAATAGTCTGTCTGGTACAAAAGACGCTTCCTTGATGAGTGATGACTGAGATATTTGTAAATATAAGGATACATATTTTGCACATAGTAAGAAATTACATTAATCTAGAGATGTGACACCAGTTTCAAGACCAAATAACCACCTCAATGGCCAGCACAGCATACAACATTGGTGTAGGAGGGACACTTTTATCTTTGGTGCAATGGACAGCTACCTAATTGGAATAAAAGCTCACTCAATGGGAGGAAACTCAAGGGTGGTACTGTAAACACAATCAAATACACATGGCTGGAGAGGTCATAGATATTAGAAAATATATTTATATATATATTAACAAAAGAAAAAAATAAGAAACTTTTAGCTAGGTCTACAAATCAATAAGAAAATAAGATTCAGAAAAAACTCAGAAATGAAAGGAGACATAATCCTCTGTGCCAAGAAATAAACAGGATCATGAGTGACTACTACAAACAATTGTAGAAACACAGACTG